GTAACTTATAGATTACGAAATGTGCGTGAGCGGCACTTGATTGCTGCAAGTAATAATTTTTAATTCTTACTATTGAGAGAGAGATAACAATATTATTCCATACAATAGTCAATTATTTTCCAATAGAAAAATTAATTGTTCTCAAATATTGACTTTTATAGAGAAACATTGAATTAAACATTTATATATTGTTATAAAATAATTTATATTTTTTGCTTTATACAATAATTTAAATTGTTCTATAAAAATTATAATTTAACGCTGCTTTTATTATAATTTGAATTGAAGATATCCTGAAAACAATTTATTGTTAGAAATATTTACTTTAAAAAAAAATGGTTAAAATATATATTAATATATATTGATATATATGAAAATTTATATAAAGGATAATGAACAATAAAATCTAGAATTATATCCAGAATTATTAATAAATTATTGCTTTTTTTAAATAATATTTTAACTTAAATAATGAAATTTTAATGTTCAAAAATTTTAAATTATCAATCTTTACCATGGTCTGCAGGTATGATCCATTCGGTGTTCAGATCCATCAAGAACCTTCGATAGCTCAGTTGGTAGAGCGGTGGACTGTAGTTGGGAAATTGATATAGCTATCCATAGGTCGCTGGTTCAAATCCGGCTCGAAGGAATCTTTTTGGTAATTTATCTTTTGTTTTTTTATATAAGTAGAACTTACCTTAGCAGAAAACTCGTTAGAGTCTTGCGCAAATTTCTTAAAACAATTTATCTCTAAAGTATTATAATATTTTTTTGCAAATTGTATATTTTGTGTGTTATCTAATTGTCGAATAAGAAATCGTATTATATCGAAGATTTATAGTTGAATGCAAACTAGAAGATAAATTAAAATTTTCTTTTGATGATTAATTAATTTTTTTATTATATATGTAAATTACTATATTATATATTTTTTATATTGTAGAATTTAATGTAATAATATTTTTTCTCATTTCTTAGTCAAATAAGTTCCTTGCTATACTGTGTTGTATCATAAAATATTTTATCATATTTGACAAAACATTTTATATTAAATTTTCTTTTTGTTATGACTTAATCCTCTTATATGACGTATTTTTTTATAGATAAAAAGAAAGGAAAACTAAAAATAGCCTCTCATTTATCACTCATAAGTGCAGTAGTGCGTGAAGGGTGATTTCACGGTGTGCCATATGTTATTGCTACTATACTTTCTTTAAACAATAATGGTTGGAATCAAGTAGAAGTTAAAAGCAATTTAGATCAATGATGTCACTTTGATAAATTATTAGGTAAGCATATTTGTTTATTAATATGTTTTTCAAGATTACATTTAAGATTTTTAAATTTAAGAGAAATTAAACTAATGTTCAGAAAATATAATTAAAAGAAACAGATTTAATTATCACTAGCATTGATAACTTGTTCACATACAATAGAATATACTTATAGAAAAACATGGGCTTTTTCTCGTCGTACATATTAAAGGGAAAATTGGGAGAAAATGACGGGATATGAAATTATTTATCTTAATATATTGACATTGATAGCTTGTTCTCAAGTTATAAACAGGATGGGTCTCGATTGCATCTCTCGATCGCATCATTTCGTATGTCACCTATTGATCTTGCGTCATCAATGTTCGATGCTTATCCGTTTATCTATTTCGAGAATCGGTATTCTACGAAGGGTGTGCCCTTTCTGTCTAATCAGAACAAAGTGAATTAGCCCTGACACGAGACCGCGCCTAAATGTTGCTCGTGTCTCGTGTAGTTCAACGAGGTTTAAAAACCTTCTCACGTGAGTTTGACCTAGTCTCAAGTACCACGAAGATTATAAAGTCGATATAAGATGTTTACTATTCAGCCTATCGTATCCTCTCTTGTTTATTCACTTGTAGTATTTATTGGCAAATCTTATTGCGCAACAATTTATTTCTTGTTTGAACAACTCCCAAATATCTCGCCAAAATCAAATTCTGATTGCATGAGAACATTTTGCCAATTAATTTGAATTATTTAACTGTTAAATCGAGTATAACATGTGTCTTACATTGCATTGCATGACATAAGAAAATACGAGCATGTTATGCCGTTCGGCGGGATGGTTACAATGATTCATCAGTACTACATCTTTCACTTGTGCTGTCGTATTTATGGCATCTTTTATTTAGATACACTTGTTTATTTTCTCAATATTTTATTTGCGGTAATATTTTCAATAACTAAATTTTGAGTAAAAAGTACTGCCACAAAAATTTGACTGCAAAAGTTGATTATTTAACTGATATTAAACCGAGATCTTTAAAATTTAATTTATCGTACTTTTTTTATTGGAAATAGTTTTTGCGATATAAATTTAATTATAGATAAAGATTTTAATTTATCGTGCTCTTTTAAAAATTTTATACATATAAGAAATTTTTTATATATTTTCATATTATCTTTTATATATTCTCTAAAACTTAATTTTATTACATCCTTTTAACGTTCTTGCTGTCAAGACGATAATAAAATTACACCAGAGTAGGATTAAGAGTCCTACGTTTAGATTATATTTTTGTACAAGATTATATTTATCAATATAAAGTATGGGAACCATTAAAACTTCTGTCGATTTTTATTAAAACAATCGTTTTGCGAAATAGTTATATAATAAAGTTAATATAAAAAGGATTTGTAATAAAAGGATTGCTCATAGTAGAAGGATGAACAATCAAACAATATAATTTTATTTAATCTCACAATACGATAAAGGTCCCGCATAGAGGACATTGCGTCTGCGTTGATCGGAAGTAGCAGTCCGATAGAAAAGGGTGGCAACACGTGCTACCACCCTCCTGACGTCTGACTCGGAGGTAGCGTGGCGTGGGGGCTGAAAACGCGTCAACGATACGTCGCAACGGGGCGATAGCGCCGTAACCAGTGACGTACTTGGATAGATCTCATCATGCGGAATCAATTACGATAATTGTGACATGGAGCTAAACGTGACGCCGAAGTCACGTTTTTCAACCGACGACTACGATGAAGTCGTTAAATGTCCGGTTTAATGGGGATAAATAAATATTCTTGCCTTATTTCTGCATTATTTAACATGATATATCAAAATGTTTCGGTGTTGCGTTGATTTCAGCCTTTTATCGTTGTAATTCTTATGATGTAACAGATGTAAAGTAGTGTTTGTGATTGAAAGAGAGAGAGAAAGAGAAAAAGAGAGAAAGAGAGAGGAGAATATTTATTACAAATTGTTATTTTATATAATTCTCTTCAGATAGAGGAAAAGCATAATTTAATATTTTAGATAGAGTAACATGTTTTGATGCATGAAAGAATGTTGCTCAACAGATATATTTAGTTAGTTAGTTATTGTTTACGTTTAGTTAAGTCTTGAAAGATATGTAACTGAGAAATGTAAACTGAAACTTTGCTTGCAGGTTTTTTTGGCATTAAAATTGGACTATTGATACTTGGATAGTATCGTGAGCAGCACGATTAGAGTACTCTTCGGCGAAGACGGCGCGCGCGTAAGCGCGCAACCGCGACGCGTCATCGGACGGTGCGCCTGTGCGAACCAAGGACGGTGGAGGTAGAGGGCGAGGACGAGGACGCGGACGTGGTCGACAGCGAGGGGACGAGGTGGGTGGAAGCGACGTCGTCGTTGAAACCGCGACGACCGGCGCGGCGCTGCGGGAACGGCGGGGTTGAAAGCCGTGGCCGGTGAGGGGGTGTCGGAGGGCCGTGAGCGCGTTCGTGGTGTTCGGCGCTCCCTCGCGTAGTCTGACACCGCCGGTCACGACGGACGCACGCGTGTGTGTCGCATCGTCGGTCCGGATCGAGCGAGCGCAGCCGCGAGAACGTAGAGGCTCGCGAGAGGTCGCGAGGAGTTGCGCGTGATCGGGCCGAGTTAGCGCGAATCCGCGACGAAGTCGCCGATAGTGCGGGGACCGCGACAGCGTGAGACGAGTGTGCAGATTCACCGGGTTTTTTTTTCGCGAGAACACGCATCGAGCGAATTGTCGGACCGTGGCCGTGCAGGAGAGTCGCGCAGACTCGCGGGAACACCTGTCCGTCGCGCTCGACGAGTGACAACCTCGGAGAAACCCAGCGGTGCCCGCCCGGAAGGGTGATCGTCACTCAATGCCGCCCTGGCAGCGCGCATGGTGGTGGTGAACCGCGCTAGTGCGATCGCGAGGATGAGCGACGTCGGTCGGTTGTCGCGCAGAGTGAGCAGGTAAGAACAACCACTCCGGGTTACGTGCCGCGTTTCGCGAGGGCACCCCGACACGGCGATCATGGTCGGCCGCCGGCGACCAGTCGTCGTCCCCCTCCGATATCCACCTTGCAATGGCGTTGATTGGGGATCGATCGCGTGTGTCGGGGTGTCGGACGACGCTGCTCTGCAGCTGGGGCTGACCCCCCGTGCACGCTCATCGTGGAGAGGGTGCAGGTCGGAGTCGTTCGACGTGGACTGCTGCTGTCCAGGCTGATGGCGAATCGATTTTTGCGAGGGGCGAGGGGGGAGCGCGAGGGGTGAGAAGGCTTGCAAGCGAGAGGCGAGTGGAAACGGGGGCAGGGGTGCAGAGTGTGCGTGGGCACAAGGGTGTGCGCGCGTATGTGTTGTATATGCATATATCTATATATATATATTATATTTATATTCACATAGCCAAACATATATCTATGTGTTGAGAGTGACTTCGAAGGTGGGTCGGGCTTTTAGGATGACTCGCGAACAAGATAAGCCGTCGGGACGGAAGGATGTGTAACTCTGTTCTGTTTCGGGACTGGAAACCGCCGGCTTCCGGCCGCTAGATTTCGCTTACAGGGGGCTTAAATATTAAACACGGGAAATGAGGTTGGATTATTGTCGCAGTGATTACGACGGACGTGTGCGGTCTGACGAAATGCCGTTTTGCTGACTTCTGGTTCTCTGACGAGTCGGTGTCTCGAGTATCGGCACTGGCGACGCATTCCTGGGAAAGAACCGGCGCGAACGGTTTTAATGCACGCGCCGCGCGCCGACCGCCGCTACGACCACGTACCTCATGAACTACTTGCGATTCGCCAAAGTCGGGCACGGGACGCGATATACATCTCGCGCCCAGCCAATGCACAGAGCGAAGACTAAGAGAGTGAAGGTGAAGATTGATGCTTGCAATCGTCGTGTCAGGGTGAACATAAATTAGCTGCTCCAAATCGCAGTAGGCGCTGCCATTACTAATTACAGTCATTAGTTTCACAATTATTGTATTGTCTCAACTTATTTTGCATAAGGTTTGACAAAAATTTATTAGAACGATTCTAATGCACTTATTCACCGTAACTTAAGACAAAATATTGTCCGACGGCGTTATCTTGAGCGATATCGAGCTTCGTATCACTTTCGTGGAAGCGGTCGTGTCCGCATCTGTGTGAGAATAAGGTAGATCAGGGATGACATCAGTTTGGGCAGAAGGTTTGTCTTTCATATGCAGATCTTTGGTTATTGAATAAAGGGGAGGATGAGTGTCTCTCGGAACAGATGCAAATACGGTTGTAAATATGATAATATTCCTTAAAAATAAAATAGCATATTTTTGATTAAGGCGTGGCATAAATAATTGTGACAAATCGATGACTGTACTTTTTACAGTAAAGATATCGTCATTAACGATAATTTCAGTAACAATTTGACATTTTTTCCATAAAAATATGAAAATATTTTATATTCAAGCTAAATGCATTACTTGGTGATTGCGATACTTGATTTATTGCTTATTCATAAAATTTTGATATTACTTGAGAAAAGCATTTGTCATTTACATGATATACGCATTATCGGATTGATTTATTACCGATAAAAGTTATTCCAATAACCCAAAAGTGCTTGCTTTAACGTTTCGCAAAGAAGATTGCGCAACATTTATTTAATGTCTGTAATGTACTTGCAGTTTGCCATTGATAACAAAAGAGGATTAACTCGTTAACGTCCATAACACAGTATCAACATACATAAATGGTACAATTACATGAAATCCCCGATAAAAAAAGCTTCTTTCAAGACTTTGTAACATAGTGACCATATGGCAGGATTATCATTGTAGGTTTTGCTTTCGTTCAGTGCAGAATTATTTTAGCACAAATAATCGATTCAGACGCGCTTTTAAAATATCATTGCTACCACAAATCGATGACTGGTATGGCGTACCTCGAAGAAATTCGAGAAATTCGCTGGCACTGAAATATTATCGATAAATTTTATCAGTTTTTATCTCGCGTTTATCAATAACCTGCTATCTTTATCACTCAGCTCACATGCCATATTGAAGTTTACATATAGCTTAATCATAAGTCAATTTGTAAAGTGAGTCAGTTGAGTCAACTAAACTCATACTGTTTAAGCAAGTTCACATTTCTTTTTCTCGTCTCTTGTTTCTATTATTGTTCACAAGTCATTGAAGTAACGACTGTAATAACGTAATGACTCAGTTCTGAAAGGGAAAAACATTTTGGCGTTAGGGGGCTAATTTTACTTTCTTCGAAACAAGCGGCCGTCAATTGATAGAAATGACTGATACGGAAATATCTCGTCGAGCTATCTCCCGTGCACATGTCTCGGTTGTTGCACCATTCCGAGTACGACTGTGAGTAATCATTGAGACTCGCGGAAATGTAGCGGGAATGTCGCCTTCGTTCGCGAACAAAAATAGTCGCCGCCGCGTCAACTCGACTTCCCAGTTTAATCTCAAGTCCGCTCGATATAACTGTCATGGCTTGCTTCGAACCCTTGGGGTGGACTTCTTTCGTCAGGCTTTTGAGTTCAAAGTGAATTAAAAGTGAAAGGGATTAATCTCGCTGAAATGTTTAGACTGCATGCGTCTAGTCATTTTCTACAATTTTAGACCTTCGGTGTTATTGGATTATTATTATTGCAAATTTTCAAATATACGGTCTAGATGTTGTCTGTTTAATATATGAAATAAAAAGAGGAAAATTAATTTTTTTAATTTAATATTTTGCTGAAGAAATTTTACATAAAGTTATAAAGTTGTAAAACGTATCTTATTATTTGAAATAATAGAGAGAATAAACCAAGCAATTTTTAACAATGATAGAAAATGGAATGCTTTTACAAAATAATTTTTAATGTATATCTCTTAACAAATAATTATTGTTCTCTATATAAGCAGTGCAAATTTAAGCATACATTAAAATTATGATCTCTGTCATTTTTATGTGCACGCAGTTTTCATATTTTATTTTTCCTTTAATTTATTATATCGGCCGATTTTACGTATTTTACGTACAATTTTATTTTTCATTTATATATTTGCGAATTTCACATATAGAAAATTTTATATCCATTTTAATTTTCTCTGCGCTTGCTATATAATATAAAAGTATTAATTACACGAAATGTTTCAAAATTATGGCATTTTTAGAAAAAAATCATCTCTTTTCTCTCTGCCTTTTCCGTTTTTTTCTATTTTTACGTTCCTTATTTCTCGTCACTCATCACGAGGCATCCACGGTGAATCGGGCCTAACGAACCGCGATCCCGAGGTCGGACAAATCGATCGCGCATCGGTATATCCACCATCCAGCGTATTTGGGTACGTGCCGTACGAAACTCCTCGCCGTCCTTTCTCCCACACGTCTCTGACCCTTTTCCACCCTCTGATCCTCCTCGGTCGATAGACCCCGACTCATGGTTGCTCGGTCTTTCTCTCTCCGCCACTTTTCTCTGTTTCGCCTTTCCTTCGCGAGGTATGCCTCATCGGAACAGACAATACATAATGAGTTATTGTATACAAAGCGTGCAAAGTAATCAAGATCGTTTTACATTGTTACGAAACAAACGTGCTTTTTCATAATAATTGCATTGCAAATAAAATTTTAGTTATTAATTTGCTTTGTTTGCTTCATTGCTTTCATGTATTTATTCGAATCGCATTGTGTTGCTTCCCTCATTGTTTCGAGATATTTCCACGTTTCGTCCGAAGCAGGGTGTATGATCAAATTAATCAGTCTCGTTTCTGCGATGTTAGTTCAATCGTATTAACTGCCTCGTTATTTTGCATCGATTCTTCGCACAATTTTTTAACTCTCGAGGAACTGCTCTTCGTGAAATTGACCATTTCGGAGCAGTTCGATACCTTGGCCGAGTGTCCCACGGCATGTCGATAAACGCACAAGAGTCTTCGACAGGGCCTTCTGCACTCCCGATAGAGGCGATGATAGATAATGGCTGGTGTAAGTGCTTGGACGAACGATCTTCGAGTAGGACACGATGGGACGCGGCGAATCGAAACTCACCGTTGTTGTTCTCCAACTTGGGCGGGCAAGCTGGAAAACGGATTTGGTGGAGTTTCCCCCTCGAGTTGCTGCTCAAATCAGGTCGCTTAGTTGCCAGCGAAGTGTACAATAACCATTTGTCATTTGGTGGTTATAGCGTACACACTGTACGGCTATATTACATGCGACTGTTATGTATACTCGCATCATACTACATTTAATATCTATTTACATATCTCTCGACACATTTCTATTTTAATATTTGACAGAAACATCTACATTCGCCAGTCAAAAGTTTTTGGACAGAGAATATAGTTGAATTTTTTTAACCCAAGTAATTATACTTAAAATAAAGATTTTTAAGAATTTACAGAAAATGGAATCTAAAAAGAATACTTAACATTCAAAAACTTGATTGGCAGTGTAGATGCCAATTCTGCATCAATGTATGCAATTTGTTAAGAGATTTATCAATAATGTGCAATCTTGTAATATATTTTAATAACTGTTATTCTATTTATTATTCATGTGCTTAACATTTTTTATTTATCATATTATTTAACTGTGTGATATGTTTATTGCATTGTTGATTCGAGTTGAGCCGAGTTGCTTTAATCTCAATTTTTATAAACCATTATATATTTGCAAGAAATGAAGAATCGGTATCAAAATCTAACGGGATGATTGAAGATACCAAATCAATAAAAGAAAAATTATTATACGTTCAGAATGTTTACTTTTCGAAAAATAATTAAAAATTGTTATTTCATTTTGTATTTACTATTTTTATTTGATTCAGCAGTGTGAAAAATATCAAAATAAAAAAAAACTGAATGAATATCTCCCTTTGATAAATAAACACTCCGTAACGAAACTGTTAGATACATGAAAAACACTCGTTAAATATGAGAAATCAAAGGGCTGAAGGGCGCGATTAAACGATTTGTTCTTCGAGGTCGCGCGGGGCGTCTTCCATCGTCGTCTCTGCCGATATTCTTTTGATCTGTCAAGGACGAGGGTTCGTTGTCTAGACGAATCGACGGTGAACGGCGTTGATAATGCTCTTGAAACGCGGTGGGATGCATTAAACGCGCCGAGGAAGCATTTGATGTCAAAAGTGGCGGTGGAAGGACGCGGGCAGGTGCATAATGGTTAGTACCGAAGTAGAAGGCGTATTTCGATGGTACTGGCGGATATTCGCGGAAACGATTAAAGCCGCGCGGAATCAAAGGGGATAAGTAGATCTGTCGCCGGCAGGAATCACGCGGAATGCAATCGATCGTGACGCGAAATTGTAGAATCCACTTCAGTCGCGCTGTCTGCGCTCGCTCTCGTTTCTCCGCTGGGGCAGAATTTACGCCTCGAGAATTATGTAGAAGGACGGTTGTAATAAACGGAATATGTGCCGCCTCTCTGCGCAGCGTCCCGTATCCGGCGTTATGTTATTCGTGAAGAGGTAAAAAGTTTCGCGAGAAAATGAAGTTGGGATGAAAGAGCGTTAGCGGGCGCTTCCGCGCGGATATTTCGCAACATATCGTTTCGACGGTGCTTAAACGAAGCTGTTACTTGTCCTGAATATATCGCGCAAAAATCTGTTTCATAAAAGATATCTGACATATAAAAGTTAATTTTTAAAGAAGATGGAAATGCCTGGCATATTGTACGTTACGCGTCGCAAAATTAACGAAAGGGAGCGTAATAAAGCGTATTGTTAATTGCAACAATCGCGGTTAAATATTTGCATAACGCTTATACGTTTAATTTAATTAAGTTTATCGCAATTTCTCTTAATCCACTTTTGCTACTAAGCTTGCCGCAATAAATTTTCTCGGATTATCGCAACTTGCTTCAAGATACATTGCGTTTTATGCGCCCGTGAAAATTTTCCCCTCCACTTTCCGCTTCTAAGGGAAAGCAATGTGATCGAACTCCACAGGACCTTTTATCGTATGCGCACCCTACTGTACAATCGCAATTGCAGTGGCGACGTCCTGTCTGGTCGTCGGTGTTCCTTACCTCGACAACCCTCGTGTTGTGGGGTGACGACCCCGTGTGTCTGCTCACGCGCTGCGTCTCCCTTGTACTTCGAATTTATTATTTACGTACAGTGGCGAGAGAAAGAGAGAGAGAAAGAGGGAGAGCGTGTCGAACGAATATTTGGTGAAGATACGTATTTGAGAAAAGAAGGGAGAGAAAGCATAGTATTTTAAGACCTGTATTTGTCAGTATTTTAATAAGCCGTTCGGCGTAATGGAAATACGATATAGATTAAAAATAAAAGGCACCGAATTGTGATTTTAAATTTTATTGAAGCATTCTGAATATATAATGGTTTATAAAAATTGTTAGTGAAGCTTCTATCACACATGTAAATTTTGGTGAATTTTTACAAACGCCAATGAACAAGGACTTTACTCTATGCAAACATGTGGAACCACTTCATTATGTTATCGATCTTCCGTATTTAGAACTGCACTATGTGCAAGGAATTAAAGATCTGTACATAAGAAATGTAATAGTATTATACTTGATCAAAGCAGTACTTTGTTATAAGACGCAATAAAATTGCACTAACAAGGCGATTTTATTACATCGTAAAAAAAAGTATGACTAATCTTATAAACTGGAGAGATCAAATTTTATAAATTTTTAACAAATTTACGTCGGATTATGATTCTGACGTTATAAAAATAATTTAATAATAGAAAATCCAAAAATCTTTCTTTTCTTTCTGATTAATATTTACTTAATAAAAAGTAAGGAAAAACTGAGTACAATAGTTTACAATAAATTAATTTTGACATACAAATTGTAAAGCAGAATTTGTATATTGAAAAAATTTGTATTTTATAAATTGGAACACATAAACAACTTGTAGGAAAATATGTTACATATAAAGAGATTGTTGTGTTGCATATAAATTTTTATTGCGCATGTTTTCTAATGAAAATATATTTCGCAATTTCTATGTGACTTTCAAGATAATAAAACGAACGGAATAATACAATTGATCTTCAGTATATATTCAGAATGGCAACATACGCAATAAAAATTTTTATCAAGCACAACGATCTCTTTATATATAATATATTTTCTTACAAAGCAAATATTACATTTCTTCGATTATTAATGGAATTATCTTTGATGCATATTAAATTTCTTCTATAATTTATGTAATTATTTTCGACAGACTCGTATAAATAATTATCGTGAATTTTTCTTATTCCACAGGTGAAACGGCGTCTTGCATCTAAATGATGATTTTTCTGCGGACGTGATCGAATGGGACAGCGTAAGAAATTCGAGAGGGAAAATCAGACTGCGAAAGGCTTATTCCCTTGGTCCTCGTCTAGGCACGTTCCTAAATCACGTTCATCGACCGGAGGGAAGTTTGACCTGGTTATAGTTGGAGGTAGATTCCTTTCTTCCTATTTCTGCCTTCTCCTACTCTTTTTTTATATAAGCATATGTACATTAAATTAAAGTTCTGAATTAATCCGTGTTACTTGCGAATTACATTTATAATAGAGTGTATATATACACGTGGAAAGAGAAATAATCGCGACAAATTTCCCCAATTCTTTGATCTCTATTGTTTTTCTTGTTATGTTATCAACGTAATTATATAGAAAGTTTACAAGTATAAAGAAAACAAGCTAAATTTTTTTTTATTTAGATAAAATATTTTGCGATTAAATACAAGATATATTAAAAGAATTGTTTGCAGGATATTTTCATAAATTAAAGATGCCCTTTGAAACTGGAAAATATAAAAAATTCTATCTATTGGATTTTAATTGACATTTCATTGACCATTTCGTCATCCTTTTCGATACAGCCGTCAACGGCGCGAAGCATGGCAAGGAGCAACAACGGTGTCTGCGGACGTGGTTCCGAACGCACCGTCGTCGTCATCCGCCGCTGCGATGCTGCCGTTGCATCACGTGGTAAGGCAACGTCCCAGCAAAGTGAATCGATCGGCGCCGGTAACGACGACAGCGTCCAGCAACGTAGCAACGACGACAGCACCGGTAACAGCAACGGTACCGCCACTGGGGCCGCCGCCAGCAGCAACGCTAGGAATCAAGCAGAGGGTACGGCCGACTAGAGTCATCCCCTTGAACGCAGACGCGGCACATTTCAGGATTAACGTGAGTACCACCATATTTTTGCTTGTCTCGTTTCCTTATAAATTTATGGCAGATCTTACAAATAAATGAAAAGTTTAGAACAAGACAATTTTTTAAGGAGGATATTCTCTCTAATAAAAGATATATCTTTATTCGCGACGATTAATGATAGAGAAACAAAATTAATTGATCGAGAAGCGTCGATTAAATTACCTATATGATTTCTAATTTAAAATTCGTATGACGTTTTGAAAATGTGAGAAAAATATTTGAAAAACATGTTGTTAAAAAATTTAAAGAGGAAAAAAGAGTGCTGATATTTATTTTTTACTTGCAAACAAGAAAATACAATGAGATGCATTTTATATATAACACAAAATAGTTTACAATTTCTCCGAATTTACATGTCGGAGGCGTATTAAATATTGCAAATGCAGGCGAGGGTAAATTCTACGGCGGATGATTGATGCATTGTAAATAATTCGATTAATCTTACAAAATCCATTGCAGTCGCGATTAATTAACACAAATGTCGAACAATCGGCACAACTGTATTACTATCACACGAGTTTGCTATAGAGTCAACGAGCGGGGAGTGTAAGTGGTGAGGATGTGGTTAAGTGGGATGGAGGAGGGAAGAAGGGGCACGCGTTGTGCAGTTGTGCAAACAAATTAAGCTAATTAATCGAGAAGAACGCGGCCGTGCTACAGTTAGATGCCTACATCCGAGTGCAGCTTCTCTTCCCAGTCGTTTTCTGCGTTACTTATTAGAGAGAGAGAGAGAAGGCGCTATTCCGCTTTTCTGCATGGAAACGCTAATTAAGTGGCAAGTTATGGTCTGTCATATGAGCGACAAATTATACATTATATTGTTGTGCTTTTTGCTCTCAGCTGTCATTCGTGTTTGTAGTACTCTATTTATATGCGCGAATAAATGTAAATAATAAATGTATTTTAATTTGTTTGCCAGAAATATTGATTTAATTTTTTCAGCGAAATTTTATTTTTTGATTAAAATTTGTAAAATATATCTGAAGAACGAGATTGTATAATATTATTATCTTTATAAAATCATCTTTATAACATCTTTATCAAAATGCATTGAAGCTTCTAATTTTGTTGCATAATAACGCGGTGGAAAAATTGTAACTATGATTATTATTTTCTGTCGTCCAATATGCTTAATTTAAAATGTTAAAATATTTGAGTAATTAGCTTCCATTCAAGTGAAATCCACTTAAAGTTTGTGCTAGAGTGTTCAATTCATTTTTATTTATTTTTATCTATTCTATCGGAACTGTAACATTTTTGTAGGTACTCTATGCTCTAAAAATTGGATTAAAATTCAATGGGAATTTAAAATTGAATCGCTGCGGTAATGCGACAAAATTTGAGCTTCTACTTGTGTTGCGAATAGAACATTAAAATTTCGTGGCCATTTAGCTTGCTGATGTTTCTGTTACAGAGAGGGCGAATGCATCTCGCAGGATGAATTCGTGCTCGGTCTATTTCTCCCAGCTGCGGGCGATGCTCGTGAGAAATCTCCTGCTGAAAAAACGCGAAAAGCGGAAGACGATGGCGGTATGTTTAATCCAATTTTAATATGCTAATGTAATGAAAATATTTCGATACCTCTTCTTACATCAAGTTGATCGATTATTTAACGTGACAGAAATTTAACGTGACAGAAATTAGAGTGTACAACATTTTGCACGACTGATTTGACTTTGTAACGAGCGTTTTATTTACGCAATAATTCTTAGATAAATACGGCAAAAATCGGCACCTGCCTTCGAGAACATGCCATGTACATGTGCCAAATAGATGTACGCATAATATCTACAGTTAATGCGCAGAAATGTGTTGCCAAAATCATTCGCGAAGATCTTTGGAAAGTGATAACTGGTTCCTCAGATCAATCGAATTAAAATGACGAGTGTAGAGACGCTGTAAGGAATGCATTGAATCGATTTATTTGCATGAAATGTGTGTAGCTGTCAAACATTATCGTGAAATCTATTTAAAAAGAATTGAGAAACAAAGTTTTTTTATCTGTTTTTACTTTCAAACTTTATTTCTTCTGAATTCTTTTGAATCTTTCATGTTATCGCTCTTTAAGAAATAAGACCTTAAGAAAATGAAAAGACAATACTTTTGGGTTGGTTGATAGTGCTAGAAAAATATTATTCTGAGAACCTTTAAGATTCTTGAAGAAATATTTAATATTAAACAACTTTGCAATTTGGTCTTTTGTCAATTTTTTCGTGAAAAAAGTTAACTTTACATTTATCAGGTAATCTGTAAAGTTGCGCGATAATAAGAGAATAGTGAAACTAAAACAATGAAAAAGAGGAGATAGATGCGGACGTTTGCGAGAGTGGCGACGGTGTGACTGCGTTTCGTCGCAGACTATGTTCGCCAACTACGTTGCCAATTGGGCGTTTTCACAGTGCCAACTGGGCCAAGGGTTGATGGCGGAGAAAGAGAGATGCTTCTCTATCTCGTCGAATTTTTCACGTTTTTTTTTGTTTTATTATTGCTGTTTTATTATTGCGGTTTTGTTATGTGAGAATCATCATATTGAATTGCGGATTAAGAATAAAATTAGCAATTAGCAATTAAAAAGATAAAGTATGTTTTGAAAAGTTTAAATTATCTTTTTAATTAAATTAATTAAATTAATTCATCAAACAGAAAATTAAATAAATTAAAATAATTATACTTTTAACATTTAATTAAAAGAATTATATTTTAAAAGCTAGCTCTGAGATTTCAAACATTATTTCGTCACGTGTTGTAATTTTTTATAAAAGCATGATTATTTTTAAACGAGATAAAACATTTAATTTTTGTTTGAAAAATAGATCTTTATTTATTTATTTAGTTATTTGAATCTTTGAAGGTTGTCTCTAAAATATTTAATTTCTAATTTTGTAAGTTTTTAATAATTAATTTAACTTATATATTTAATACTCAGTTGTTAAATGATTATTAGTCTTCTTTAGATTCTAAGATCAGAGTCGTATCTAGGTTTGTCGTATGTGGGACACTTGACACGTGCATATTTCATACACCAGTCACACCAACTGATAAATTATACAGAAGATCGAAATACGCTTGTGCCAATTTTTACATAATTAGTGATCTTAATTTATTTTCCTTTTCGAACTTTAATATTTGCGATGCTTGAGATATATATAAAATACAATATTATATTATATTATTTTATACTTACTCGCAAATTGACGAGGAATTATAAAATGATTCTTTAAACATTCTAAATACACAATACTATTATTATTTATTTGATATACATACATACTTATGCCATATGCGAATACACGCATACTCATTTAATCATACTCACTCAGCAATAAAGTACTGGGCGAAGAGTGTTCTATATAATGTGGAATTCTCCGGCTTTGTAAAAGCCAAACATTGACTTTACGATAAGGAACTTGATTTTGAGCAGAAATCTACTTTTGTAAAAAAATTCAAACATCACATCACTGCCACAAATTCACTTCTTGCGAGCGTTTCTCTGCTTGCCATCCTTGGCCTTGAAGATAGCCGGGTCGAGGATATTGATGGGTCCATTGTTCCACAATGAGGTGGACACGGTTTCGGTGAGCTCGGCGGTGGAAGGCAGTAGATGAGGTCCGACTAGAAAATACGCTTGCTCGACCCAGGTAGGCAGCGGCAGTCCGGCGACGCAGTATTGCCACAGCGGCAAGCCCAAGTGAGCCAGCATCATGCGGAAATACACGGTGAAATTGTCGGCCAGATGATACCAGCCGCCGTCCCGATGGAGCCCGATACCGGGCGAGTCCGGCTCTTGCTTGGAGCGATACGCCAAATAGATCCTGCCGTTTTCGGATCCCGGAAAGCACTGGCCGATCTCAAAGAGCTTGCAGTCGCGCGAATCCACGGAGAACATGGCGTTTGCGCCGTCTTGCGATTCCGCGCCGACATTTTCCGTTTGGATCGCCGATGAGTCCTGCGACGACGATCCCGCCTGTCGATCCTTGCCGACGTACCTCTTCAGCGACGAGAGACCGCCGATCTCCATGCGACCTATCGAGAATTCCTCGCCTACATCGGCGCGGAACGTCATCTGCATTAATAACGGCGAAGTGAAATCATCGGTTTGGGACCGACACGCTTTCTATATCTGTGAACAACGCGGAAGTCCGGACATCTAAAGGACATCGGAGTCATTTTTTTTAGTAATTACGTGACTTTTTTCGACGGGCTACTGTCTGAATTATTTGAAAAACTGGGTCATGGCTACACTGGACGACAAGTTTTAACTTGCTTGTTTGTCGAATGAAAGGTTCTTTTAGATTTAGGATTACCGATAGCAAGCGTTGCGGCAAAAGAGTTTGTGACACGCAAACTTCTTGAGAAATCGGTAAAACAATGATGTCAGTAATTAGAAATCAGCGATTCTTATCTACCATAAGATGACACTCTTAATATGGAGTAATCTAAAAGTTTTTTTTTGATAAATCTCATTTTTTGAAGGATGGTTGATCATGGATTAAAAGACGAAAAATTGATTCAATGAAGAATATTTTCAGATAAATTAACGACAATATAACGACGAAAGCTTCTATAATGGAATTAAATTAATTATTTAAGTAATATAATACGAAATAAAAATAAAATAGAATAATATACAAAAAACAGTACAAAAATAGGATATAAATATAGGATATAAAGTTACAGTGTATTTCTGTATCTCTCTCGCAAAAGAAGAAGAATATAAAATAACGGGAACGAAAGAATTAATACAAAAAAAAAAAACAACGTGGAAGTTTGTACGCGTAATCAAATGCACAGGATCAGAATGGTCAACCTTACCCGCTATCTCAAGATTCCACTGCAACAGGAAGCCGTCGATGGAGGCATAGAAATTGCGGATGTCCTCGGGGAGCGCGCAGCAATGACGTTGCTCCCAACTGGTAATAGCGCCGGGTTCGCAGCCGTTTCGCCTCTCGATTCGCACGTTTTTCACGCACGGCGAACTTTCGAGGATCTTAACCACACCGAGTGTTAGATTCTCGTAGAACGAATCCTCGGTGACAATGTCCACAAAGAACGACATCGCCTCGAGCTCTTTGCCCTCCGACACCTTTTTGCAAATTCAACCATTTTCGAAGTGATTTCTCTCCCGGAATAGGAAATTAATTTTATATACCGTATTTTTGTCGACCCTTTTTAATTTATTTATTATTGTATAAACCACACCGGCATTCTCTGACTAAAAAGAGCAAAAGAGGGACGCAAGGGGCCGAAGAGGATAATTGCAGGAAAAGATCGCAACGTTTTTAGAAACATTCTATGCATTCTACAATTTCAAAATACTGTGCGAGAGCATTTTGTAGATCATAAATTATTCTACACTCGTGAAGAAAATTAAGTCTTTCAATATATTTATATTTTTTGTTTTCCATACTTTTTGGATTATCAAGCAAGCCGAATTTTGTCTCTTTATTATCTTCGCCTTCTTACAATCCTTTCTTCTACGTAATGCTATCTCACCGTTAACAGATAAGAGTTAAAAGACGCGACGAGCAAGAAAATGCTGAATTAAGTCACAGATGGGAGCTATTACCATGTGTATGTTTATTCTGTTTAGCTCGCGATCATTCTCCTCGAAGAAGAGACACAAAGACTCCATTCGCTCGCAGCTGAATGTTACGACACTTTCGTAACTGACATTACATCGATCCGCGTTACGTAATCACTATGTTTGATACTCTGGGGACGCAGAGACGATGCAAATTTTTGCGCTACACGTGCGATTCGTCCGTGACTATGTCGAAAAGACCTACGAGTGCTTCTACCTTTCGACGTCCTAGCAATCATCGCTAAGAGTATGGTTCGGTCCCTTGTTGATCGCCATGGCGACGATATTTCGGAGCAACCGATATTCCCGAGCAATGCACGAAGTGCCTCACAACCACAATTCTCTTTTTCTATTCAAGTGCAACAATTAACTTGTAATTTTCTTCACGTCTTTAATTTTTCCTTAAAAATAATTTTGGAATTTCAACCATCGAATGTTTGATAATTGTGCCTCACATTAAAATTTTATTAAAGTAAAACTGAAGCAATTGTATTGTGATTAATTGGAATATTCTTATAAATTCATTATTTTCATGTTTCTTATTGAAACAAAAATTATTTATATTTTTATGTTTGTAAAAAAAAAAAAAATTAAAAATGGATGAAGACAATAATTCCGAAATGTTTCACAGCTTAGATTTCACACAACGTGCAATTCGAATTTAAATCACCGACAAAGGGCCGAACAAAGCTTTTTTCGTTGTTTTTGTCGAAAAATTCTTTTAACGGGAATGCCAATTTGTTAAAAGAGGAAATCATGCGATCAAAACAATTCGAAATATTGTTTGGTATCGCGTTGCGAGCGGTGAAACGAAACGGCAGGTGCGTGTATAGAACCCAAGATAATTGCGGGACTCGCACACACGCGGAGAATTTCTTGCCATATAGAATTTATGCGATATGTTTTTAAGGGTGCAGTGGGAAATGGAGGGAAGCCACCCTCTATCTTGTACATTGTAGGCGAAAGAACACGAGGGATCTTTTATTCATCCGGAATTGATCGTGGGACGGTCGCATTTCGAAATGTGTTTCCTGAAAGATAAAAAAAATCACAAGGGATTTTTCTTTTACTATCGACAAGTTTAAAAAAGAGTGCAAGCACGGGGATACATTTATAGCATAATATTACGATTGATTAATTATTATTACTCTCTAGAAAGAAGCTCTTGTCTGTTTTAACTGTAGAAACGCTTGGTCCCTCTCACCAAAATGCCACTCAATTATTACTGCGGATGGTGTTGCGAATTGGGAATTGCCTCTTAACGATCGTATAAGACACATCGTATAAACGGCGCACTTATCCGATCTGAAATCAGTACTATTTGATTGCCCACAGGAGATCTTTCTACCCCTCTACACTCTTGGGATCTTGATCGTGGTGAAGATCCTGATACCGAACCCAAACTATCCCGCGATGACGACGCAGAGGCATGAAGGGGATATATTCGAATTATTCAACGGCTACAAGAACAACACGATTGCCGTGGTGCCCAATTCTACGGAGACTCTCGTGAGTATTAGCTTCTGGAAATTACCGTCAACTCGGCGTATTGAATTATTAATTTATCAAATGTGTTTGCTTTTAATGCTTCAATGTTTTGAGGAAATATCTCTCTAAAATATACGAATAAAATCACCGTATCGTTGTATTTTTCTTCAACATTTTCTATTGAAATTAATCGAATTAATTTATTGAAATAATTTTGCAAAAAGTCAAGGCATTTTGAGCAAAATTGAAATTTTATATCTTTCATATTAATGAAAATATGTATAGGTTTTAAATTCTACTTCAACATTTTATTGGCGATCATTTTTCTAGATAAAAAAAATATTTTGAATTTATTAAACTTTACGTTTCCTCTTGTTACATATGTGCCGACGATTATGAAAGTAGGCTGAGCCATATACTAAATTCTGTTTAAAAAATGACTGCACATTATTACAGCATAGATCGAATACAAAATAAGTGATAAATTCAATTTTTCAAGATTTTTTTATTCAGTCCACTTTTATAATCACTGGCATATATATATGCCATATCGTACATAATTTTATGTTATGCGCGAACTGTTTTAAAATAATCTTTCTGCCGGATATTGCGAGATCCCGCACGATATAAAGTTAACGACGTATTTTCCAGAGCTTCTTGAGCTCTATGAACACTCTCTGGCTCTCTATGTGGGATTATCCCGGTAAGCTTCCCTTAAACTTCATGGTGTTCGACACGAAGGATGATTTGCAGGCAGCGTATTGGAGAGATCCTTACAGCGTTCCCCTGGCAGTTATCTTCGAGGATTCTCAGCCGATAACACGGCGTCTCATGTAAGATAACTTTTACATCGTTAGCCATAAATTTAGAACAGGTACGTGATTATTTTCAAGGAAAAATGCATTGAGATGCATGATAAACAAGAAAAGGATCTTTTTAAAAGATAAAAAGCGGTTTTCTTTCTCACTCTCACTCATTAGCTTAATTTACGGAAATAAAATTTATGAAAATAAAATAATCAAAACTTTTAATAATGGACATTATACGAAGAGATATCGTAATTTGTCGTAAACAGATATCGTAAGATATCGTAAATTGTACTTATAAGTTAAAATTTTTAATTAAAAACTTTGAAACTTTTTTCTTCTTAAGAATAATAATTGGCAAGATTAGCGTTTCTTATATTAATATATAAATTTTTTTTATTTACAGGTATGAAATTAGGACAAATCCTTCATACACCTCGCCACCTTCGCCAACCGAACTGTACTCATCTGCGGTCACCTGCCGAAAAGACACCAGCCACTGGATGGGCGGTGTTTTGTCGATAGAGACCGGCAAATCTTGTCCTGCTAACAATTATTTGCATTCCGGCTTCTTGGCTTTACAAATAATAATGGATACCACAAAAATAAGAGTGAGCATGTACTTAGTAAATTTTTATGAGAGTATTATTTAGTAAATTTTACTTGCTTATATGTTTTGCCAAATAAAAAATGTAATAGTCTGGCAATTAAAGATAGCATTCAGGTGTTAATTCCGATGTTACTTTTTACAGTTGGACACGGGAAACTCCGACGTAACCATACCAGATATTAAACTTGTAATGTTTCCTAAGGAAGCATATACCGCTGGTAAACATTTTTTTTCAGAAATTTGTTTATTCGCTTGTGCGATTTGTTTAGCGTGTCAACGATTATATTTATGTATATTTTTTTTTAGATTGGATGCTCGCCTTCAGAGTTGTCATTCCGCTCTATATGGTTTTGGCACTCTCGCAATTCATCACCTATCTCTTGATCTTAATAGTTGGTGAAAAGGAAAATAAGATTAAGGAGGGGATGAAGATTATGGGCCTAAACGATTCTGTGTTTTGGTGAGATTATAAATCTTGAAGAACCACGATAAAGATTAAATTATTATACAAACATTTTTTTACGTTATATCTCGCGCAATATCACGCGTCTCTTTCCTTTCTTTCGCAGGTTGTCGTGGTTCATCATTTACAGCATCTTCGTCTTGTTGCTCTCCGCCGTCGGAGTGGTATTGCTCTTTACGCTGCAAATGTTCCAGCACACACATTTCCTGCCGATATTTCTTTTAATGGTGTTATACAGTTTCTCTGTGATCATGTTTGCCTTCATGATTACGCCATTCTTTGACAAGTCGCGCGTAAGTAAGGTTTAATGTAATCCTCTTTGTACGTCATATTTCAAGTTTTCAACTTTAATCTTTCAAAGTGCAACCTTTATCATAATTAGCGCGTACATATATCTAATTATTCTCGTGAAAATGAGAATGGTATTTTCTGCCTGTTTATCTCGTTAATTAAAAAGGATTATAAGAGTCGTTTCTATTTTTCAGACGGCTGGTGTTTTGGGTAACTTCGCTGTCACTATACTGAGCTTGATGTATTTTATCCAAGTGTTCGTGGACGATTCCAGTTCGGTCTCGTTTTGGTTAGTCTCTTTGGTCAGCCCGACCGGAGTCGCCTTGGCGATGGACAAGGTAAGTTCCGAAGTACATAATAATTTATTCCATTGAAATTCTACGATTCAATCTCTCATGTAAATTTGTGCAAAATTAAACGAGCTACACCCTTGATTTATAATTGATTTAACAATGAGAAGCTCGTACGTGCTTCCATGGCTGTATGGACTTTTAATATATATCGTGTATCTCAAAAAGCTTCGCACTGTATTGCGCAGGCTTTGGTGCTGGATCTGCAGGGCGAGGGGGTGAATTTCGATAATCTTTGGTCCGGTCCTGGAATACCCTTCGGCGGCAGTCTTATCATGATGACTCTGGATATCTTTCTGTACGGCTGTCTAGCGTACTACCTCGACTCCGTGGTACCAAGTACGTTTCACATTTAACGCAAAATATTCAAAATTTGTTCAGATTTTTTGTGTATTTTTTGAAGGAATTTACATCACATCAGAATAAATTCTTGGATCAAGTCTTATATAAAGATGAATTTTTTTCCAGGTGAATACGGAACGAAGAAACCACCTTGGTTCTGCTTCGTACCTGGATTTTGGTGCCAGAGAAAAGTCCAAAGGGTGAGTTTGAAAAAGATTACGGACAATTGCCGATATACAGGTTACTCTAACTTCAATAATAATATAAAGTCTTTGTGAAAAAATGCTCGAAAGAAATTCTAATATATCTGAGATTTACGTCGCTTGCTGCCTTTTCTCCTTTCAACAAGGATTTCAATAAGGATGCGTTGATATATGATGCGAGTATTCGCATTTTTATATGAGAGTCACGCTCGTAGAATTACTTGCAGGTACCGTCGTCGAACGGCGAGTCGAACTCTTTCATCCCGGGCGAGGAGACGAATCGCGATGTGGAGCCGGTGGTGCGCGAGATGAAGGGTCGCGAAGCGATCAGGATAGCCGATCTCTATAAATCCTATCACAAGTGCAAGCGCGCGGAGACGAAAGCCGTGAATGGCATCAATCTGACTATCTACGAGGGTCAGATTACCGCTATTCTCGGCCACAACGGCGCCGGCAAGACCACTCTCTTCAACATCCTCACCGGTTTGACCGCACCTACCTCCGGCACCGCCCTTATTTTCGGCTACGACGTACGCGACTCGAACGACATGCGGGCGATACGCAGCATGACGGGGGTCTGCCCGCAACACGACATCCTCTTTGATCTGCTGTCACCGCGTGAACATCTCGAGTTCTTCGCCGCGGTGCGCGGCATTCCGCGCTCAAGGATACAACACGAAGTACGTAGAACAATCAGTGCACTTATGTTCTGTGTCAATTTAATCTGTAAAAAGAAGTTAACGGAAAAATATAAGAATCAGAGCGCGGATGTCAGAGCGCAAAACACTTTATTATCAATCGATACAAAGTAGTGATAGAATTATCGATGCATTAATCTATAAATTCGTCTACTTCTCAGTTATTCGAACGCGATCCTGGCCGAGCAATGTAAGAATCTGTTATTCATGAGGATACGTGTTTCGTTTTCCAGGTGAAGAAAACTCTGAAAGATATTGATCTAACCGAGAAGGCGGATACTTTTGCGAAATACTTAAGTGGTGGACAGAAGAGGAAATTGTCTGTGGGCATCGCCATCATCGGCGATCCCAAAATTATTATCCTCGACGAGCCCACTGCCGGAGTCGATCCTTATTCGAGAAGACAAATGTGGTCCTTCTTGCAGTCCAGACGGCATGGAAAGGTGATCTTGTTGACGACTCACTTTATGGACGAAGCGGACATACTCGCCGATAGAAAAGCAGTGATCAGCAAGGGGAAACTCAGGTGTTGCGGCAGCTCCCTGTTTCTGAAGAATAAGTTTGGCATTGGATACCATTTAACGTAAGGGCGCTAGAAATATTTTGATACAGTTGCATTATCAAGATATGCTTCGACAAGCATGCTGTTTGTGAAATTAATAATTTGAATTATGAAAGTTTGAAGAAAAGATGGAATTTTTTTAATTTTATGTATTTCTTTCTATCAAAGTCTAAAGAATAGCGAGAATATTCGATGCTATATAAGAAACTTAATCTACATATTAATCACAAGAGAAGGAGGAGAAAAGCACAATTATGTTTGATTATATTGCTAACTTTTATTTTAACAGAAAGAATTATAAGATGTGTCATCCTCGAAAATAAGAAATAAGCATTTATCCAATGATTATTGCGTTGCAATTACAGATTAGTGCTGGAGGGTAACGCTAGGGAACACGCCATCACGCGGTTAGTAATGTCGCATGTAAGCAAAGCGGAAAAGGCGAGACGCCACGGTCGGGAATTGAGTTTCATTCTACCTCACAATTCCGTGGAGAGTTTCGCTCCTTTGTTCTCCGCTATCGAGCATGAGATTAAGACCCGTTCGAGTAGGCTCGGAATCAGTAGTTACGGCGTATCGATGACCACTCTGGAGGAAGTGTTCCTGCATTTGGAGAAAGATGAGGAGACTGAGTGCACGATGGACAATCTATCGAAGAAGATGGTGCGTAACCGCGCACTCAGTCGATCGCTTTCTCTGCAATCCAAAAGCACATCCTATCAGAGCTTACAGAACGAGGGAGTAACCGTCCAAGGCGACAGCCAAGGAAAAGGTAGTTGATTTCTCTCCACTTTATTTCAAAAGTCTTTATGATTTAGAGATTTACATTTTTTTTTTTCGGACCAAGCAAATTAAATGCACAATTTTGTGTACATTACAAATAGATATTTAGTTCATTATATTTATTATTTAGTAAAGTTCTGATATAATTAAATTAATTAATCAGCGAACGACTTACCGGACGGCGTCCATAACGATCGAAATCCACCTGTGCTCGGCCTCGGCCTAGATCGCATCAAGATCCGGCCTAACTTCCTCCAGACTCTCTACGCCATGTTACGTCTCAGGGTGCTCAGACTCATCAGGAACATTCAGATGCTGTACTTCACGATCCTCATGCCACTGGCTCTGATAGTGCTCGGTCTCTATTTAAACAGCATCCGAACGATTGACATCAAAATGCAGTCACTGGAACTTAATAGCCGTAAGTGGTTGCAACTTATGCAAGGTAGGAGGTAATCGCCTGACTCTTTTCTCATCCACACTGAATTGATTTTCGAAAGTAATGTGGCACATCTGTAAATCAGTCCTTGAAAAAATTTACTTTTACCAAATTCATCAATCGAGAGAATGTTATTTCATATAAAGACTTATAACATTGTACTTATATATTTAAGTATGTGTCCATAAATTTGCGAATATTTGATTAAAATTGCATAGAAAATGTACTAAACAGCATCTTGCAAAGTTTAGAATTAAAGATCTTCTTGCAATTAGATTCGCGAATTTACGAACAGCATTGTCTTTTCAATCGAAACTTTTCATTTCATTACAAACCATATTTGTTTCAATTAATAGTGCGAATTGTCATTACTTGAAGGATCATGTAGTATGCTTTACTTCTTTTTAGATACATACGGCAAGGAAACCAAGATTCTCTACATGAATAATAGCGACCATGACATCACTGACTTCATGGAGAACATAGCTCACGATGTGATGAAAGTCGAGGAATACAATGGCAGTTTTGTGAATTTATTAAACGTTGCGCCGCATTTTGCCGCCCTCAACATTAGCGATTATAATCTGTCGCGATTCAATCTAACCCTCGTTTACAATGACACGATGCAGCATTCCCTTCCGATTCTGATGAACATTCTCACAAACAGTTATTATAGGTGAGTGCAACTTGTACAACGAACAAATTCCACGTGGTTCTAGAATATTTCAAATACACATTTTTCTTTTTACGAAGGGGGGCATTAAAAGTACTGCATTAAAAAAAATATAAACATTAACATAGTAAAGTAGCACACTTACCGGAGAGACCGCTCTTATCGTTAAGCTACTTAGAAGCTATAAAGATTATCTCTATATATACGACCTTACGTATACTTTCTTGTTTGTCTTACATATTTAGCAACACTACGCTTACATGACTAATATTTTTCAAAGAAAAGTTTCCCTGGCATACTTATACGTATATAAGTATATATGTATGTATGTATATAAACTATAATGTGATTATTATAATTGCTAGCCGTGATAGAGTTGCTCTTGTAAGATCTTTTATAAGAAACTTTAATTACATTTAAAACTAATTTTTATTTATAATAGATATAATATCAATATTAATACTTATCTACATGCAAATTGCTTCAAATTGAGTAATATTTTTGCTAATTATGATTTTGTATTCAGAACGATGGCGGGCAAGAATGATCCTTCGCCGATCGCAGTCAAAACACATCCCTTCCAGCAAACGTCGCAACCGCAAGAGTTCAATATCGGTATGGCCAGCTGCGCTGCTTTCATCGGCATGGATTTCGTGCTACTGCCGATTACTTTAGCAGTGGACATGGTTTACGATCGCGAGGTAAGAGTTTCGCTCTTTAAACTCTGTTTCTTAATAAATGATTATACACAGAGTGTTAGCTTGCATTTTTCGCACAGATCTTTCAATATCCAACGCCACTAAATATTTTAGTAATTAAAAATTGAGCTAAAGATCTATTAACGCCTTAAATTGAGACAGATAGCAGAGTTTCTTCTTAATTAATTCATAAAATAATTTTAAAACAATTAGATTTTCTGAACTCCATTTCTCAATATCTATTTATTCAAATCATACTGATTTAAAATCAGTCGAATTAAGCAAGCATAAAAAATTGAAATGTTCAGTGCAATTTCTTCACACGTAACGCATTGTTGTGCAATGATCTTTTCGAATATTTTCCAGATTAAAGCGAAGAATCAGCTCCGCGTGAACGGTCTGTCGTTCCCGATGTACTTTCTCAGCTACTTCATCGTGCTGGTCGGTCTGATGATGTTCATCTGTATGTGTATCCTCGGCATCATATTCCTCTTCGACGTGCCTTCGCTACAAGAGCTACCGGCGCTTATCACCCTCAGCACTCTTCTCATGCTCTACTGCCCATCGTCCATTCTTTTCTCAACCTGCCTCAGCTACATCTTCGACAAGATGGACTCCGCGCAAAGCATTCTGCCGAACATCGCGACCTTCTTCGGACTGATACCGTTCCTCCTCGTCGTATTTCTCGATATGCTGGGACTCGGTAAGCTAAGACCGTCTTTTCCTCAGCGGAAATGCGGATGGAAGTAGCACACTTTTGCTTACTTACTGAAACTATTGTTTTTTTTTTTCATTCGCAGCATTATTGAAACTTTTAAGTATGACAAGCCTTTGATTTCAATTTCTAAGTCAAACGGTGAATCATTCACACGGCTTGGGAGGATTCTTTTTTTTTTTAATCTTTGAAATTTTCAAGTTACAAGCTTCGTCGACTGTCTTTAACGAAATCCGATTATTTACCAATATTTGCACTTGGTTGTAATAATGATTTCTTAATAACGTTCTGTTTAAGGTGGGACAGCGGCATTTGCGTTGCACATCGTCTTCTCCCTGTTAAATTCCATGTACGTTCCGTACGCGGCGGTATACTACGTGGATCGCGTTTATCTGATGTGCTCCATCAATGCCGCCTGCCATCACCTCACCATGTCCGATTATCTCACCACGGAGATCATACTGATGGCCGTCGGGGTACTTTTGCATTGCCCGCTTTTGTTCTTCCTTCTGCTCCTGCTGGACATTAAGAAGAGTGGCGGCAACGTTAGCGATTTCTTCAAATACTTCCTGGTTAGTGCAAAAATCCCCGAAACTTTTTATTCTCAACTACAGACGTGTTTTTGCCCTCATTTGTTATACGCATGTATCGGGAAGCTCGTAGCAATTTTTATGCTAAGATCGAAAACAATTTTCATATATTTAAATCCCTCTTTATTCAGTATGCAACATTGTTTTCCATACATACCAATTTTTACATACGGCGAATGTCGGCTTAATAGCTTTAACGTGCACTGACGTGCTCTTTTGTCATTTATCGAAAATCGTTACGAACTTTCTCCGAACAACCTAAAAGTTTAGTACTTGCATTGTTGTCGTCAGTTTACATTTTAAAGTGCAATTGACGTCACTTCGTCGTAAAAAGAGTTGTTGGCAAATTTTTCGGTTTTCTTTCTTTTTAAAATTCAATTTTTTATTTTTTTTTTATTGTAACCCTGGAAAAAGTAATTTATGGAGGCACTCAGTAGTATCGTTCTGAAAATATAATATATCCTTTTATTCAAGTCGAATATTCCTTTTATGATTTAATAAATGAATGAAAAAAATGATAATTTAAGATGTATATTTCCATTAGAAAATTATTAAAGTATTTTTAAAGTTTCCATGAACATTTGGAAAGGAGACATAATTTTTTTTCATTCTTGCAGCATAATGGCGGCTCCATTGGCGAAGAAATTATGGAGAACTCTGACATTGGCGAACACGAAGACGCGGATGTAAAGAACGAGCGACAAAAGGTCTTCAACTTAATTACATCGTCGGCCGTTCAAGAGCCGCCTGTAGTATTAGTTCAGGTAAGTCAGACCAAGTTAAATTATCTTCCATTATAATGTAAAGTAGTCCCAGATAGCCAAGCCTATCAATGGCGAATTTTGTAAAGCGTTTCTGCTGTGAGTTCCGTCACGAGAAAAGTGACAAATTTAATATATAGTTCATCATACTGCAGTGTATCTGCAGAATATCAGCAGAAGTCGTAAATGTATCTTAACTTAAAAGCAACATAAAAGCGTTGATCAGAGTATTATTATTATATCTCTCTGTATGTAGATTTATCTCACAGATATTTCAATATTGCTTTTTTTAATCAAAACTAATTACCCACGTTTATCAACAATGTGAAGCACTTTTACGTAAATATTCATTCACGTTGAAAATGCACGAATGTAGAATCTGAGGAAGGAGTACCGGCAGCGAGAGGTAGGATCATCCTGCGGCTGCTGCTCGAAGCGCGAGGAAGAGGCCACGCAGAAGCAGCGGAAGACCGCTGTGAGAAATCTCTCGCTTGCGGTGGACCCGGGCGAGGTTCTGGGCTTGCTGGGTCACAATGGCGCCGGCAAGACCACAACCATGAAAATCATCATCGCCGAGGAGGCAGCGACGAGGGGCAGAGTGCAGATCGGCGGTCATAACATCAACACCCACATGGTGGACGCTTTCCAGCAGATGGGTTATTGTCCCCAACACGACGCTCAATGGAAAAACATTACCGTGAGAGAGCATCTGGAATGCTACGCCGCGATTCGCGGGGTTCCGCGGGGCGATATTGACAGGTGCGATTTTTTCACACAATTAATTAGCGGAAATCTTGGGTTTTTTTTTTCTAGATAAGAAATGTTTGATTTTATAGCGATGATTACATAGAATGTCAGTTCTTCTAATATAGCTCGCAGACCATTGTCGAATTTTGAATTGCTACATACATTTGTTTGACATCCGATTGCAGAATCGTAGACTTGTATTTGTCCGGTCTGCAAATCCATGAACACGCCGACAAGCAGACCCAAGAATGTTCCGGAGGGACTAGAAGAAAGCTTAGCTTCGCGATGGCGATGATCGGTGGGCCCAAGGTGGTTCTCATGGACGAACCGAGCACGGGCATGGATCCAAAATCGAAGAGATTCCTATGGGACACAATTCTCGCTAGTTTCCAGGTCAATTGCATTACTGTACGCTATTCTTCCTATTCTATTTAATGTATTTTTAAAAGTAGAATATTTCTAAAAACTAAGATAATAGTACGAAATCGTGAATAAATGGCAAATAAAAAATATAATAAAGTAATTATTTAGATAGAAAAATAATATTTAGACTATAATTATATTTAAGAATATTTAGAAAAATATAAATGACAAAAAGTAACAGATCACTAGACAGTTTTATATCAAGAATTTTTTCAAAAGGATTTTTCATATATCTCATTATTGCCATAATGTTCTGCAACAGGGTGGCAGAGGAGCCATATTGACCACCCACTCCATGGAGGAGGCTGATGCGCTGTGTTCGAGGGTCGGCATAATGGTGAAGGGCGAGCTGAGATGCATCGGCTCGACTCAACACCTGAAGAACCTCTACGGCGCTGGCTACACTCTCGAGATGAAGCTGCTGGGCGGCGATTGCACGCCGACGACTCCCTCCGGTGACAGGATCGCCGGCTTGAAAGAATTCGTCGCCGGCCTCTTCCCTGACGTCACTCTGGAGGAGAGCTTCGCCGACCGGCTGGTCTTCGCCGTGCCTCAACACGCTGTCAACTCGCTGGCCGAGTGCTTCATACAGTTGGAGAAAGGTGAGGAAACAGTTTGAAAAGATCGAGCGATGCTTTCGGAGCTTAACAAGCAATCTGTCATAATTATAAAGAATACAAAATTTAGAGAAAGATAAAAACTAGAGAGTAGAGCGTTTTAAAATTTTATTTTATCGATTTCTGCATTCTTTTGGATATGGCAAACTGGAAAATGAAGTTTTAGGTCAGAAATATACCCCAAGTTTCCGGAATTTGCGTTTGAATGATGTAATTAAAGTAATTAAAAGCACTTGAAACGCTGCGTAAGATTTAAAGTTTGATTACGAGTCTCTCTTCAATCGGGAGACGTAAGACACGAGATAAGAACTTGAAATTACCGTGATGAGCGACTTAAGACATAGAACGTCGAGCTTTGTTATAAACGCCGAGGACCTCCGTAATCCTTTGAAAATTTCTGCTTACAGCCAAGCTTGAACTGGACATAGAAGAATATAGCTTTAGTCAAACTACCCTGGAGCAAGTGTTCCTCAAGTTCTCGCACTACGACGAGGGCAACTCCGTGGAATGATGATTCGCGGTGCTAATGTGCCATTGTTACGTGATAATCAGTGATGAACTCGCGATTAGCGCGCACGAAAGGACTGTTTATTCGCCCGCGAGCGCGTAAAAAGAAAAAAAGAAAAAAAATGTGCTCGAAGGATGGACGCTTTTAGATGCTCGAGGATCTGTGGAACGATTTCCGTTGTCCTTGCTGACAAATCGTGCGATTACATTACGACGAAGCGCACCGCTCATTTCGAAATGTTGCAGATGGGACGGTGAACATGATGGCTAGTTAACGGTTCTAGTGTTGTATTCCGAACAAGTATCTAAAGTGACACATCGTCTCGTGCCTTCAAATCCCAGGAGGGGTAATGAAGAAACGACGGAATGACGAGGGAACAGGAGTTTGTCAATAGCTTTAATTGTATTATGAAGTATTTCCACGTATCAGGACAACACGTTGTTTATAAGCTTGATAAAAAAAAAAAAAAAACGAGGAAACGATAGAGCGGCAAAGGAACAATTATGAAAGCCGTAAACGTTTAAGATAACGAAGAATTGCTTAATTGTTCCGAAATATTGGAGAAGCAACTAGGGAATTATAGAACACCGAAAAAAACAATTAGTCAGTAATGCGTTGTGCTTAAAGAAACGGATGAGTTTCTTCGTAATTCCAGGAGGAAGAGCGAAGTAAAGTGATGGGAATAGCTAGCCAATCGTCTCGTCGTTACGTTCAACAGCTAGGAAAACGAAACTGGGAGTGGCTGAAAACTGGGATTGATAAAACGACGAGCGGATAGTTATATCGCAGCCTAGAATTGCGCGATTCGAGAGAGTAAAGTAAACTAGTCGCTTTGTAGGTGCAAACTGTTGGCGGAACGAGAGACGGCAGAACTATGAGGGATCAGTTAGCGAGTAGTTTCCCAACGTGCAGTTTCAAAGGAGCATCAAAGTCGCCTTGCTGCACGGTATCGATGAAGAAACGAAGTGCGATTAGATGGCGGAGCTTCGAAAGAGTGTACTAATAAAAATGAGAGCTCGGTTGTTCTAAAGTGTTGAAGAAATTACGGAGTGGAGCGGTGGAGAACTTAAACAATCGCGGATGATAAAATTTGTCTCGCTGTTGTAAAATGAGTCGACAGACGACCGAAGTAATAAGGGTTCATTAAATCGTAGTGCGTTTCGAGAAAACTTTACAAATCAAGAAATGAGACTGGAGAACGGTGAAACGTAATGTCCTTCTTTCAGATGGTGCTTCGAAGAAGTGTCGGAATAATAGGCCGCTTTTTTTCAACCTTCACTGGCGAAACGACGGATCGGCGGACGGGATGAGCTAGGAATAAATAATAACTTGAAACGTGTGGCGTTGTGCTTTGAGGGAATTTCACGGGTGATAAGGGCGATCGAAGCGATCGAAGGCGAGACGCTGACGGCGGTCTTACTGTTTTCGCGCTGGTTGAATGAGCGCACGCAAATCGTCCCTCGCGAAGGAAAGACTCTCTCTATAAAGTTCTGTGTATTTATTCTGTAAATAGTCTCGCGGGTACACGCCGTGGAGTATTACAATTGCGATTCGAGCACGACCCCCCCCCCTCCCTTCCCCCTTCCCCTCCCTCCCCCCTTTTAACGACGGAGCGTCACTTTAAAGCTGAAGTTTACGCTCGATATTTTCCAGATTTGTATCTGTGACGTCTTTACTTCTCTCATCGGCGTTGTCTTGTCGTAACGTAATGTCCAGGAGGAAGAGATCCTCCAGAATTACTGTCAGAAATCAGCGGCGGAAGGTAAATGTCGGGCGTAAACGCGAGGAACAGACGTCCTCGTGGCGTAGTGTCGAAGTTACTGGTGGTCCATTTCGTATTTGAAAACTTACCAGTAACAGATCTCATACCAATATTGCACTGGAATTGGAGTACACACGGTGTCCGTTGTCCTCAAACAGGACGGCTCCTTGGCAGGAGTTGCAAATCGATGGACCGGTTCGAGAAGGTTCCTGGCGATAAATCGGTCTTTAGCTCTGGTCGCGTCATTTATGATGATATTGAAGAGATCTTCACCTAATAATTACTCGAATACCATTAAAGCGCGTAGTTATTTCTTTATCATCTTCCCTGCAACCTTGTGCGCGGATTACTGTACTTTACAAAAAAAATACTAGGTCAAAGTGAATCGATGGAAATTTATTTTACGAAATTGTGTAAACTTTTATTAAGCTCAAAATGTGCGATACGAATTGATTTTCAATTGCAAGGATAATGCGTAATCTGCAAATATTGTTAAATTAAATATGGATTTCGAAAATTCAGTGTTTAATTTCATAGAATAAATATTTATCAAGCTGGAGAATTTGAAATATTTATCAATTTCTTTTATTGATCTGTTAAGCAGCAAAAAAAGGACTTTTTCACAAAGTTACAACAGTTCAAAGATCGACAATTTTTCTGCAAAAATTTAGTGATCCTTTAATTTTGCTATTTAGTATATTTTCTGCGGATAATAAGTATTTCAAAGGGACACAGATATTGTTAGAACTTTCTACGTAAGGTTGCGAGTAAGATGTTGATTTTTTTGGATCATTGAAAGATTGAAAATAAATTTGTGACGCAGGATTTGAAATTACCCATTTTTTGAGCCGAGCCATCGTGAGTGCTGTTGGGCCATACTGAATGCAGCGAGTTACGAGGGGTGTTTGAGAAGGAACTTTTATCGCGCTATACAGTTATTTGCTCTTCTAATGGCCAAAGAAGTTCCAAGTTTTAGTCATTTCGAATTTTAAGCACGAATATATAATGGTGTGTAAGTTTTAGATTTAATATTTGTATCTTCCATAATTTCTGGGAAAATTTCAAAGAGGACTCTTTGAAAAGCATAAATATCAAAATTATATTCAATAGTTTTGTATTTAAGAAAGGATTAAATTAAAAGGATAAATGTTGCTCAGGAATTAAGGGTGCGGCGATTAGCGATACATTAAAAAAAATCTGTCGCATTAAAGAAAAAGGTAATCGTTAGAGTAATAAATTTATTAAAAGTAGTGTTAAAATTCATTTGAAATACAGTGAATTATTTATTAATAGATAATTATTAGAGCAATAAAGTTAATTCCAATCGTGAAATATTATTCGTTAAGTTTTCATTGCATAGAAATGTTACTGAGTATTTTCAGGGAGGGATAAATATTGCATAGCTTATTTTTGTTAACTGAAGCTGCGATGTTTCACTGTGATCAAATTGGACGGTGTTTAATTCTCTTTTGATAAGATTTAATGTGCCTTGAGTTTAATACCAAATTATTAGTCAATAAATCTATAATTGTCATGCTTGCAAGATAAAATGCAACTGTTCCCGAGAGCTGCGAAGTGGCGTAACGATATCTTTTGTGGAAGTACTTGTTACTTTTTTGACAATCCGGTGCGATTATTTCCTGAAATCTGCACGAAACGTCATATTACTTCTCGAACACCCCTCTCATTTTCTATACACGTATTTAAAAGTACCCTGAAAAGGGCCGTAGTCCTAATAGAAAAAAAAAAAAAAAAACGCAAGAATGACACGGCTTATAGTCTCGAGTGCAACAACTAGTATGTTTTTCTTGTGTGATAATGATAACAATCGTACGGACACTCTTTACTATTAAACATCGATCAAATAATACAGCGAATGACTCCGAGAGAAAAGCAGCCGCAGTTGAAAATATTGCTAGTAATGTGAATTTAATTCTTTGCACACGACAAATCTAATTGGCCATGTCATTACTTTTTCTATTCCAAAAGAATCATAATAGAAAGTAATTTCAAGAATTCAATCAACAGAAGAAATTAATTATCATAAGAAATATGATATCCATCTTTCTCTTTTTTTATCTAATTTAAAATTTCATGAGAAACAATTGTATAGTAATTGATTTTATTATTGCAATTTTAATTTGAAAAGGTGCAAAATTTATACGACAAATATTTCATAATATTAAAAAATAATTTATTTTGAAATATTTCTTTCTTATATTGTGACGTTGAGTGCAAAGAATTAAATCGGCTTTTTGTTGAAAATAATTTCACACACTTTAGTCAGCGTGGACTGAACAACATTAAGCAATATATACAAGAAATTAAAATAGATATGAATATGTAATTGAAAGCATGAATGGTAAAGGGCGTCAATTAAAATGCGATCGATTGTTCGATCAGATCGAACAATATTTTAGTCCTTTTATTAATGAGCAAATTATTTATGAAATGTACCCGAATTGATTTGTATATTGTTTATAAATATTATATGTTGTATAGACTGTCCCAAATTTACTGTCTCTTTCTTTAACAAGTTCCTTCTAAAATTTCAGATTGATTTTTCTTTGATTAAAAATGTAACAGAAGCACCATCCGCCTTTCTAATGTATTTTTATTTCCAGCATAATATCTTATCATATACAATCTTCATTTATTAAAGAGAAATAATCGGAAAACTGGTTTGTATGCTATCTCTTTTCATAAAAAGAAAATGGAGATACGGTAAATTTGGGAAGTTTATATATAACGTTTATAAATAATTGTCTCAGCATTATAGGATAACTTGAAAGAAAAGTCAAAGTGTCCATCAACATGTGTATATAAATTTTCTTGGTCTTGTAAAAAAGAGAAGTAATATGCTTTTTATACAAGTATCATTCACCGAGATTTTAGAATTCCGCTTTTATTGGTTTATAAGATATTTGGGATGATAAGCATTCTTATCATTCAATTTTTCAAGTAACATAGTCGAACTGAATAAACTCTATCTAAACATCAAACTAAAATGATTGACTTATCTCTCTATCACAAAATACTAAAATTATACGAAATCAGATATTTATTGCAAGATTTTTTTACATTTCCGCAATTTGTACTATTATTTTTTTAAATATAATTAAGAAATGAGTTATTTTTCCTGTTTATTTTTTATTTAATATTCTATGATATTTTTGTTATAAATGCAAATTTGATTTTTCTTGCAAATTTTAATAAATTATATTTAATATTTAGATTTTAATTATATTTGATAGTCTATTTATGTGTATAACTTTTTGTGACTATCATTTTAGTTTTTGTTTTAATTTCCATTGCGCGCGCGCGCGCGTAATCTACAATTATCTATTCACTAAATATAATTATGTGAACATGTCGCAGATGGTTATTATACTTTCAGGTCATGATTGATTATCGTTATTTATTATTTTTTTATTTATTAAAATTTAGGATAATTACCCTTCAATTCGTTGGATTAAGATTATCCATTAAACGTATGATCGCATATATGCGTCTGAGAAACGTAATCCGTGTGCAAAGATGAACCATGATCTTTGCATGCGAACATTTTACGTGCGAAGAATGAAAGAAGTGTTATGGTTGAGAATTTAAGAAAAGCTTCTGTTAAATATCAATCCGCATCATTACATCCCCTGCGAAAAATAGGTGGATTAAAAGAAATCGACAGGAATTTATCATGCAAAATCCTTGATTTTTCGAATTCAGCACTTCAGGTTTCTCTCAACTCGTTTCAATTCTCAAAGTACTTAGTGTCATTTGCAGTTCTCACAAGCAAATTGCATCAGAAATCATTTTCCGAACCTTTTCTGTAGAACATTAAAACAGGAATACAATTGAATATATGTAGAATTGACTAACATATCCTAATTCTTATTAGTTGAATAGTTTATAGCAGTGATGAGCAATCCGCGGCCCTCCAACTACTTATCTGCGGTCCGCCGAAACGTTAGCAAAAGGCACAATCTGTTGTTAATTATATTGCAAATTATATATCTATTGTAAATCAAATTTTTTTTATTAATATATTTAACTATTTAATATTGCGTTTGTTGCGGATGGAATATTAGGTTTTCAATTTTGGCACAACAATTTTTGCAGAGCAAAGCTCATCACTGGTTTATAGCACTTAAAATGATTTAAAATTCATGCATAGAACAGAAATATTAAAAGGAGAGATAGACGAGATTTTAAATATTTCCAAATCGTTGCTTCGAATATATTCGAAATCATAATCTTTTACTACGAATTCCTGTCAATTTTTAGATTTTAAATCAGCTATTTTTTACAGTAGCTGCACTAGGTACACGTACTCCTACTCTAGCGTATCTCGATAAAGTTTTATTCGATATATACATATAATACACGTCGAAAAATTGCCTGTCCATAGTATCTACCGAGTGGCCATTGTGTGTCTCTGTATCAGGACCGGCGGAAACTTTCCGCAAAAAGGTAACTTTGTAAAAAAACAAAAAAAGACACGAATTAGGCTGTAGATCGAATTAGGCTTTTCTCGTTGATACTTTCAAGCTTGTGTAGAACTGTTTCTTAGGATTTTCAACAAATTTCTTAAGATAGAATAAAATCCGAAAGAATTTCGTACGATAAGATCGTTTGGCGTCATTTGACTATCCCGTTTCCAATTTTCATCCTCTGATTAAAAAAAAAAAAAAAAACATTGATCTATTGGAAATGAATTTCCTAAAATGTCCAAGCTGAAATGAATAAAGTACAAGTCGAGATTTTAGGTAGGAAAAAAATTACGTATAGTATTTAAAAAATGCTGTTTTTATTTAATTCAATGTTTGTATTAAATTATTTACAAGTTTATTAATAAATTATTTAATTGTTATAATTATATTATTTTAATAAAAACATGTTTCTGATCAATATCATATTTTTTACGTTTAATTTGATATTAAAAATAAAAAAAAACATATTTCATAAATTATGTTAAGAGAAAATGTAGATCTTCTACTTTCCAATAATCGTAGATTTGCAAAATACTTGTTTCTTTAAAAGATTACATTCTACATTCTAATTAAAACTCTACAAAATAATTAAATAAATAACAGACATTTCGTATGCAATTTCTGGAATTCAAAAAGTATTGCACCTGTTACAAATTGTTATCATGTTTTGTAATTAATGTTTTGCAATTATGTCATCGAAAATGGATTATCGTTCTTCTAATTACGCCTCATTTATATAAATTATAATAATCCATTATAATTAACTATTATAATACAAAGAACATGGTTTTTCATATAATTAACTAATAAAAATAATTGAAATTTTAACGAGTAAAAAGATGCAAGAGATGCGTCAATAAGATGCAAAACAAAACAGGTAGAATGTCTTTCAAATTTTTACAATTCACATGTTGTAAAGTAGTTAAAAAATACTTTTTTTTAAATATTTTCTTTGCCGCTAGGACTGAAACGATCTAACAAGGGAACATCTTTGTACAAGGTGTTTTAAAAGTCATGTGTTTTCTCGCTTAATAAAGAAATAGTTTATTTCTAGTAATTTAAAATTTTTCCTAAACGTATATCTACATTATTACATTTCTTTAATATAAACCTATGACCTTTCTTGCATAAAATTACATAAAACTTAGAAAATGTCAAACTCTCCATAGAACTTTCATTAGGAATTAATCATTATTCAATTCAATATTCATTATTATATACAAAAAAGGAAAAAAATGCGCTGTTTATGTACACTACCTTACAACAGTTGTATAATAAAGTGATGAAAACAGGAGAATGCTTTTGAACGGACGAATGAAGTGAAGAAAAAATAGACTACATTATTTTGTTAAAACGCAGCTCTTACACACCGATGCATGCATTTTCATAGAAATAAATTACTTATATCATTATTTCTATCCATTTCTATCCACTTTTTTCCTTACACAACTTACAGACCTACAAACGCATGTACATAGATGGATATTTATCCATAATTAGTATTCATAGCATGTGAAAATTTCAAAAATTATTTATATTACAATACAATGAATTAATACAGTTTAACTATTTAACGAGTGAATTTGAATTATAAATGTATTATGTTATTTCGATTTAATGAAATACGATTTAGTGTGACGTGATGCGCTCTGCAATCAGTATTTAATTCAGTTAATGCATATATGATATAATATCAAGAAATTCTCGAAACATATTTATATAATAAAAAAAAAATAGATTTACTCAAAGTCCTAGTCACTTTCATTTCCCACAAAGTAATTCCCAATTCCGGTATTTCTGTCAGAATTGAAAAAAATCTTGAACATTCTTTCGCGTTAACATCGCAATTTCGCCTGAATCCTTTCAACTGTATCTTTGCCTGTTCGCCTGATGTGATTTCTCGCAATTTGTATCTTTCGCAGGATGAAAAGGCGAAGATTTGACTCGATTGAGAAAATCCAACTAAATTGCAGTGCTTAATACGGTGAGAATTTATCGCAGAAGAATTTCTAAGATGTTTAATCCTGGCAGAAATGTTCACGCGTCTACTTTTAAAAGAGATGAAGGGGACTACAGGAACTTTGCACGATTTATTTATAAATATATTACGGGAATTTTTGAACATTAACTACTTTTTGTTAATTTCTTACTTCTAAAAATATAGTTCTTACAGTTCTTAATTAAAATATACAGTTTTGGGATTTCATTTCTCTGATTTTATTCGGTTTCAAGTTCAATCAGCAAGTTTCGTTGAAAATCTTAAAGAACTTATTCATGATTTATAATCAAATTCCTTTGTCATTGAGTAATATCGAGTAATTTTTTTGCACAGAACAACAGCATTATGAATGAGTTGTTCTGTCTCGTATACACAATAGACAAAACGAATTCCAATCACATTCTGGTTAAATTATTTATTATAAACATGATCATACGAATTGCCAATCGTAGATCCCGAACTTTAATCTTGAAATGAATTAAATTACTTTTTCGAGACTTTTCAGCGCGCATAATTTGAATGTGAAACTTCTAGCTTATCACAAGACCTCCAGAATAACTGTTCCACCGAAGTTGTTCCGCCGAACGATGGTCGCGTTCAATAGATCCGATTATTACATAATTTTTAAATTGAGTCCGACTGACGTGTGTAGCAGTCAATCAGATTCAATTTGTACAATTGTATCCACTGAACGCGATTATTGATAAATGACTTCCAAACTTTTTCAGCGACTATCAATCCTTTGATTCCACAAACCCATTTCTTCTTTTATAGATCTTATTTTTGCTCTTATAAAAGATGGTGTTAAAAAATTGGAAATATCAAAGGATAATACTCATTTTGGAAATCATTGATCTAGATTATCATTCGTACTATATGCAGCCTTAGACAATCTCGCGAGATCCTCTCAAGATTTACTTGTGAAACGAGATCAAAGCGTAATACAGTAATCTGTTTTTCATCTCGCAAAAAAACTAAAAGCTTTAGTTCGCATTGACCTAAAAAAAATGCAGTCTCTTCTCACGCGTAATATACACACGCATAATACACCTATACACATTCTCTGTTTATGTACTTCTATATCGCTAATTTTTGTCAGTCGACAACGTCCGTAACGCATGAAAAAGAAAACGTAAGCAATAAAATTAAGATGCGGATTGTTTATCCTCAGATTGAGAAGCGTTAGATTTTTAATACTTGAATTCTACGACTTACGCTGTTTTCCTCATGCAATATGACTTTAATAAGAAACCTAGCAAAATACGTGATTTGTCGTCGCACATCGACGCATTCAATTGTGGACGTCCCCCAAAAGTCAAAGTAATAAATAAAAAGGTATATAAAAAAAAAAAGAGAGAAAAATGCGTAACACATTACAAAACGTTACCCTACACCGCGGCGTACTTTCCAGCGAATCAGCACCTTCTTCTTCATGTGGACAGGTACAGTCGGTGGTAGTCATTGGCGCCGAAGGCGCAGTTGCACTTTGGACATTTCCGCTGTCGCGTCTCGTAACGTGTACGTAAGCAGTCCCAGCAGAACACGTGGAAGCACTTTGTGAGTACAGCATCTTTACGCTTCACCTTGCAAGACGGACACGTCAAAGTCTCCTTGTACTCTCGCAACTCCTCCGCCATCACTTCGTCCAGCGTCTCGGCGAGCTCGATCTTCTTCATACGTTCGACCTTGCGTCTGAGTTGCGCTATCTCCTCCTACAATGCGATTCGCGTTAAGGGATTAGTATTAATGCGAGCAATTCAAAACAACCTAAAAAAAAAAAAAAAAAACAAACAATTAATGCAGTACTGATAATAATACCTGTAATCTTTTAGTCTTATACGCTTCAGCTTCCAAGGAACTTGTCTTCTCCGCTACAACTTGTTGCGCTTCTTTCATTTGGGAATGATACTTCTCTGTAACAATAAAAGCCAAATCAATCTCTCGCGACTGCTTAATCTTCGTTAATGGCGTATATTATTAGAAAACAAGATTTTGTATACGTTACTTTAGAAAGGCTTATGTCCCGAAAGGGTTAATATTTTTTTTTTATATTTGCGGAATCTCACCGAGATGAAGTTTGAGATCGGCGGCCGATTGCGCACTCTCTATTGCCTTCCGTTTGTGCATCTCCATCGCCTGCTGCCTCAGAGCTAGTTCCTTTTCCACCGTGGCAAGGGAGTTTTGTAAGAGACGCTCCTTCTCCTCCAACTTTCGCACGACGACATTGGCCGCCTCCACCTGCGTCGTCAGCGTGGACACCTGCTCCTTCAGCACGTCTTTCTCCTCCCTCGCGAGCTTGTGCAGTTGATTGCTTTTGATCCGCTCCGTCATGAGTTTGAAATTCGCATCGTCCTTCTCGCGTAGCTGCTGTATCAACCTAGAATTCTGCTCCTGCATATCCTCGAACGCTTGCCCGGTTACTTCCATCTCGTTCAGAAGAGCTTCCTCCTCCTGCAGCCACATAACATTCTGTTCAGCGTTACATCTCCGTTCATGTACACTATAATGACGGAATTATGTCGTATATGCCCTAATTCAACGTAATAAAACATCACGCAAGTTAAATCGACTTACAGAAAATTTGTCCCAATACCAAATATTTAAAGTTCTATAAGTTTGCATGGCGTAGAAAAAAAAGATTAGTAACACAAATAATGAAGTAATTCATGTAAGTTAGTGGATACGTTAGTTTTTAAGGAGATAAATGTAAATTTCTTTAGAAGGAAACATTAACAAATATCCAAAATATCTAAATCTAATAAAATAATTCTTCGTTAAATCTCTATTTATACAAATAATCTCATTTCTAATTAAAATACAAGATTTTAATCTTTTTTATATACAGCTCGTGAATCATAAAAGGGATAATAATTCTACAAAGTGTGATCTACCTGTTTTTGACAAGCAACTTGACGTTGCAATGTGTATGTCTGCTCTTCCAGTTTCTTAATTTTTATCTGTGCGTCTTCATCGGCTAATTTTTTACGTTCCTCACGTTTACTTTCCTGCGCAGGCAAAAAAAATTTGTATCATTATATTATGCTATTATACCACAGTTGCAGTCTTGCAATTACTGTACATATTATAGCGTACTTGAATTTTTTTCACTTGCTGTCGTAAATCTTCGAGCTCTGCTCTTGTTTTGCGCTCCGCAGCCATTAACTGTACTTTGTCTCGTTGCTCCTTTCCAACGCCTTTGTACATGTCTAAGAGAAGTTTCATATCTTTCATCTCATTCACAGCCTTTCTGCAATCAAATAGTTTTGCGTCTTTAAAATTTTGCGTCTAAAAAATTACATGCATCATTACAATAAAAATATCAATATTATTTCATTAAAAAATGCCGAATATCTTCACGAACGTACTTAAGTTGTGCCTTCAAATCCCTCACAAGCTCGGATTCCACCATCTTTGCATCTTTGGCGCGATGTGCAGGATCACGGTGTTCGGTTTTCACAGATTCTTTCTTGATATCCTTTTCACGTTTGATGTCCTTCTCTTTCTTCAAAGTCGGCGAAGTTAACGTCGAAGAATCTGGTGTCCCTTTGTTACCATCGCCCTCGCCCACCTCGATAGTTTCCACTTCTTCATCAGCACCAGATTCTCTCTTGATCGTAACACCACTTTCTTCTTTTATCTGTTTGCCAAGACATTAATAATTGAAACAAATTAATTTAAAATCTTATATTAAAAAATGCTTTCAAATGTTAAAATGTACATTTCATTTATTTTTATACCTTAGAATTTTATATCATTTGGCAGATCTAAAACTTACTGTGATGCATTAAAATCTTATATTTTAAACAAAAAAATGATCTAGAATGCTAAACATATACATTTTATTCATTTTTATGTCTTATAATATCATAACTTTTGGTGCTTTGAAGTGTTATATTCTAGTATTTTTGAATTTTATATAAGCAATGCATATAAAAAAAAATAATTATAAAGGAAAATTCTTAAAAAATTGTATTCTTCTTTCAAGATTAGAAAAATTATACCTGTGTAGAACCTGGTAAGGAGTTTGACGCATCCTCTTCTTTTCCACTGCCATCTGAATTATTCCCTTCTTTGTTTTCTTGAGACGTTTGCTGCCCTAATTTTGCTGTTAATTCTTCTACTTCCTTCTTTAACTGGAAAGATTTAATAATAATAATTTAATAAAAATTAATTTACTTATATTAGATATTTTACTTATTTTAATCATAGAAATCTATTATGTGATAATTAGTATTTGAAAAATACTTTTATTATTTATAATAAGATAAAATCAAAGTTGCTATAATTGTATGCAGAAAACTGCAATTAAATTTAATAAAGTGAAATTAATTAATATACGCTTATGTACATACGCGAGGTATTTCAGTGGAAGCTTCCTTGTATTTTCGCTTGTAACGGTGCACTTCTCCTTTCAATTGTTGATTGTGATTCTGAAGAGAGGTAATCAGGTGACGCATTTCTCGATTGATCGGACCTGTTTGTTCATTAGCTGCCAAGTTCTGTTCAAACTCAATGCGAAGCATTTCATATTCCTTGCGCAATTGTGCCAAGACGTCTTCGAGCTGTATACACTCTCCACGCAATTTTTTCTGTGCCATTAATTCTTCGCTCTATAAAAAGAATATTGTTTCGGTAAACAAAACGTTGATTCACGCTCACGAGTATAATCTCTGAATGCATAAAGATCTTACCTCCATCATCTCAATGTGACGTAAATGTGCATTCTTGCTCGACTGCAATTGTTGACGAGCATCGTCCAATTGTGTTTTTAATTGCATAGATTCATTGTATAATACTGAAAATTGCGACTGCAGACATTTGTATTCCGTTGTTTCTACGATTACCGATTCAGGAAGTTGTCTTATCTATAATAATTAAATTCAATTGGTTGTCATCTCTATTCGATGAAAAGTAAAATTATTAAAGTACTATTGAGTCATGTAATGAGTAATTTCGAATTTTTTAAATAAATCTGTCTATTTTTTTCCAATCAAAGCGCTGTTTAATTAAGTAAATTAAATATTCGTTTGTCAAAGTTGTAATCAAGCTTGTATCACAATTTTTTCACGTTGTGTAAAAAAGCGTGCTGCTTAAAAATAATAACCATTTATTGGAAAGTACATTGGAAATTACTTATTACACAATCTAATAACTACAAATAAAAAGGAAATAAACCGTTTATTACTCACATCCATTTTCAACTTCTCCACCTCTTTCAAAGTGTCACGATGTTGTTGATGTAATTTATCTAATTCTTGCAATCTATTGTTAGCCAATTCACGTGTCTCTTCAAGTTCTCTTTGTAAATCGTCAAGCTGTAAATAAAAAAAAAAGATATTAAGAAAAACTATAGGATATTAAACTAAACTTACAGTGTTACTTCATAGAGGATTTTACTTTAGTCTGCGAAACACTGGAAGTAACCAAAGTGTTCGGTTTGTTGCTGCCTTTATCGTCCGCTCCATGAATTTGTTGGAACGCTTTCAACTTTTCGATCGCTTCTCCAAGATGGTGTTCCAATTTATCGTTTCTCGCTCGTACTTTGTTCAGTTCGTATTGTAAATCATCTACTTGATTTCGCAATTCTGCGGCAAGAGTGTCTTTTCCCGTTATGGTGTCTTGCAGCTCTGACATCTATGGAAAAATATCTATGTAATAAAGAAACAGTCTATTTTGTTAGAACATTGAAAAAAATTGAATATAAACGAAATCAATTACCTTCAATGAAATAGTGTGATATTTTTCATGTAATTGTATATTTATCGCTTGCAGATTTCTATTTTCCATTTGTATTTCCGCGTTGGCACGACGTACGACTTCATCGATGTTTGGCGCTTCCTCTGCACAAGATAATTTATAATCAGATTAGTTATATTCTCATAGCCTTTTAGAATATATTTACAAAGTTCTTCCAAAGTTTCAAGGTAATATGGTTTATAAACAAATTGGATAGACAACTTGCTTTAACTTGTAAAGAATGTTTCCAAATATTTAAGAACCTTGCCACATAAATATTGACGAAACACTTCGTATCAATGTGTCCATAAAGCTACTTACCGCCATCAAACTCTCCTTTGAGTGCAAGAGTGATCTTCTCATTTCTTTGAGACAAACGATCAAATGCTTGTACTACTTTAGACACTGCTCGCTTCGACACTTGTACACGATTCGCTAATTTGTCATCTAACTCTTCTTTGTCCCAAGAAGATAATTGCATAAGAAATGATGTTGTAGCTTCACTCTCATCTGTAATAATATAAAAAAAAGATACGTTAAAAGAATTCGTAATATAAAATATACAATTGCTGTGCCATGTCTTTATACTTTTATTTTCAGATTCATCAGCAGTTTCAGCATCAAATCTCTGTAATAGTACACGTATGTCTTCGTTGAGTTGATTCCAGTATCGATTGACTACATTAAGTACCGCATCATCCTGCATTTGGCGTTTTTCTAATTGCTCAATACGTTGTCTTAGCTCAGCTTCCATTCTATGCCTTTGTTCTAATCTCTGATAAAAATAAATTAAATACATTAAATAAATTATATAGGGTGTCTTGTAATTCGCGAATCAAAATATTACAGCATAAGTTTTCAAAAAATTAAAGTTCTTTATTTTTCCATTCAAGGAACAGTTTTTGAAATATAAGAATTTAGAACTAATCAGTGGCTAATCAGACTGTAAACAGTCGCTTATTCCGAGTTATGCGTATGACAGTATTAGTCACTCATAGATAAGCGACTGTTTAACCATAGAGCTTGATTTTAAATAAATCGTAAAAGATGATATACATAATTCATTGCATGTAACATTGTGACAAATTCTTTATGAAGGATATTGTACGTATTACAAATGTCTTCATTTCATCATATCTATTTTTACAATTATAATTTGTTCATCTTATAACATGTACAATATAAATTTTACCTGAGCCAATTTCTTGTTCTGAAACTGCAAAACCTTCATGTCCATTTCCTCGAGAGTGGATATTGGCCCGATCAAAATCGGCTCAAACTGTACTTTCTTGATAGGTGGTTGGGAACCAGAGTCCCCACTGGAATCCGCAGGTCGTTTAGACATCTTTGCATGCAGTTGTGTCCTGTTAACAAAGCAAAAATATTAAAAATACAATATATACAAAATATAATAAACGTCGTGTACTTAAAACATTGAAAATTTGTTTTTGAACAGTTTACAATATCTAAATCTCTTGGTTAATAATTTTTAATATAATTAAATATAAAGAAATATTTTACAAAAATTTAGAATAAAAATAGAGGTTATAATTTACATCGAAACAAATTGGTGTAAATATTAACGAGCCAATAACATTTAACACAATAATTACTTATTAGACTTCACAAATAAGCTTTATGTGCTCTCAAACACCTGTGTTGTGTGAGAAAAAAATAAATATAATTCTACAACTATTAAAAGCTGGAATTTAAGATGTCGTCCTTCTTTTAATTTTCTTTGCACCGTAGCTAATACGAGGTTCAGAGAAGACCGTGAGTAGTTAGAATGGAATATTTATTAGGCCACATCTGAATATAGCCCGGACTCCGACCTTCGTATACCTAGACGCAATTTCGTGAAACTTGAAAGTTCTAAACCGTTGGAGCAATGCTGTTGTTATTGATCGCGCGCGCGCGGATATACCTTTTGGTACTTGATTAATTTCCTCCGGCCGCCTTCCACGATAGCACGTTCCTCGCCTCCTGCAGCTTATCCTCGCGTCATTCTTCGACGAGCCGAGATTTACGTACTAGATCAATTCCTGCGGATATCTGCATCTTACGCGATCTCATGGAAGAAAGA